ATTTGTCAAGGTCACTAAAAATGTGACAAAATTAACTTTTCCTGCCCAAAAATTTCAAGATAGTGTGTAAAAATTAGCATATGCTGCCTTATTACCTAAATAAATCAATCCAAACTACAAAAAAGATCGGTTAATCTGATGACGATTACCTAACTCTTATAATAACTGATGTGACAAAGTAAACATGTCTTGCCCCTATTTTGAAGAACTATACCTCTATTAGAATACTATGTAACTTTATCATCAAAAAAATTTCGCTAAACTAGTTATTTTGCCAGCAAGGAGCTGACAGAGTTATAATAATTTTTTTGTGACGAAATTACCCTATTTTTGACCATGTTGCGGTAGTTTAATTGTGACACTGTTAACATATTACCACCCGATAATGATTTATGTGACTGGTGCATGGTACTAGCAGTGTTGTTTGATCCATAGTACGTAATACAAAGGGTTTAAGCTGGTATATCATTATTTGTTCAATTTCACACATGTTCAGATATCATCAAGATTATGTGACAAAGTAAACTTGTCTGTGCCTTCTGTGTTTTAATTCCTTGCGACTATATGATATAATAACAATTCCTAGCACTTCCAGGCAATTAAATAAACCTACACTACTCAGCATTGCTTATCAGGGTTCCCTAAACATTCTTCACATATTTTCTTAAATGTGTGACACAGTAAACCTGAGTGCACCATCTAACGAAAAAAGTCGTCAAATATGTAGGTAATGGTCATATGTACCCATCCAATCAACTGGACACTCAAAATTTTGGTCAAAAACGGCAGCAAGGGGTCCATATTTACTCTGTCACATGTTTATAGTGTGACAATGTAACCATTTCCGTGCCGGCCGTATTTAAGCGATATCTTATCACCTGATTAAGATATCGTTATGTGACAAAGTTAGCCTAGAGGATGAGACGATTATCCTAATCATCAAGGGTTTGTGTAATTTCATAGTGTGACAAAGTCAACTACACTGTGCCTTTTAATAGGGTCACTTATATTTACCAATATCCTCAAACTCAAATGAACGTGTCCATATATACATTATGAACACCTACAGATTGCCTGCTAAACTGTTCATTGCGGGAGGAGATGAGCATCTTTTCAACGAAGAAGGGACCACACAAGGTTTTTATTTTTATAAGAGAGGCTGCGCTTAATTGCAAGCTGGGTTTGGACTTGAGTAGTAAGAGACAAGACAGCATATGAGTGTTTGTTTAGGCCGCAGTGACCTGTGATGAGGTGAACTGCAGTTCTGTAATCTTGTCTGTGTGTAGTGTTTTTGATGATGTTGGCGTGCTTGTGGCCGAGTGTCAGTTTGTTGTGTCTGGGAGTTGGGACCATCAGTTAACCAAGTTTCCTGATTTAGTCTGTTGACTTTGCTGTTGATTTGACGTTTGATGTAGGATTGTGGAATTGGAAACTTCACTGATTGTTCCAAGCTTGGCCAGCTCATCTGCTTTTTCGTTCCCCCACAATCCGATGTGTGCTGCAATCCATTGTATCTCTAGCGTGTTGTTGGATCCGAGTGCATTAAGAGAGACGTAACAGTCTCTTGTAGTTTTACTCCGCGTTTAAAGCGCAGAGATAGCTTGTATAGATGATAGACTGGGAAGTTGGTCGTTTAGCTCCGGACAGTCTATGCAACGTCTATGCAACGTCCGTGCAACAACAAAAGAACCGTCTATGCAACGTCTATGCAACGTCCCTGCACAATGAACACTCTATGCACACTCCCTGCACGGTCAGTCTATGCAACGTCTATGCAACGTCTATGCAACGTCCCTGCACAGTACCATATGAACACCGGCTACTAGCCGGCTACTAGCCGGCTAGTAGCCACTTTTGTAATAACAGCTCCTCAACTTCACATTAACAACCGGCTACTAACCGGCACTTGAAAAGTGGTCACTAGCCGGCTACTAACCGGCTACTAGCCGGCTAGTGACCACCAAGTGGCTACTAACCGGCTACTAACCGGTCACTAGCCGGCTATTAGCCGAGCTCTAAAGCAGACCTATTAGTAGCCGGTTCTAAACCGGCTACTAGCCGGCACTTGAAAAGCGGTCACTAGCCGGCTACTAACCGGCTACTAACCGGCTAGTAACCACCAAGTGGCTACTAACCGGCTACTAACCGGTCACTAGCCGGCTCTAGTAGGTCCGCTTAAGAGCCGGCTAGTGACCGGTTAGTAGCCGGTTAGTAGCCACTTGGTGGTTACTAGCCGGTTAGTAGCCGGTTAGTAGCCGGCTAGTGACCGCTTTCTAAGTGCCGGCTAGTAGCCGGTTTGGAACCGGCTACTAGTAGGTCTGCTTTAGAGCTCGGCTAATAGCCGGCTAGTGACCGCTTAGTAGCCGGTTAGTAGCCACTTTGTGGTCACTAGCCGGCTAGTAGCCGGTTAGTAGCCGGCTAGTGACCACTTTTCAAGTGCCGGTTAGAAGCCGGTTGGTAATGTGAAGTTGAGGAGCTGTTATTACAAAAGTGGCTAGTAGCCGGCTAGTAGCCGGCTAGTAGCCGGCTAGTAGCCGGTGTTCATATGGTACTGTGCAGGGACGTTGCATAGACGTTGCATAGACGTTGCATAGACGTTGCATAGACGTTGCATAGACTGACCGTGCAGGGAGTGTGCATAGAGTGTTCATTGTGCAGGGACGTTGCATAGACGTTGCATAGACGGTTCTTTTGTTGTTGCATGGACGTTGCATAGACGTTGCATAGACTGTCCGGAGCTAAACGACCAAGTTGCCTGATAGACTGTCAGACCATATGATGATATGTGTGAGAGATATTTGCAAGCTTCAATGATGGCGGTGAGCTCTGTTTGGTAAACAGTGCAATAATCAGGGAGCTTGAATGATCTTTCTTCAAGGGTGGTGTTATTGTTGTCAGTTGCGATGATATAGCCAGCCCCGCTCCCCGAGTCTTTCCACCTGCCATGGGATTTTATGCCTATTGCCTGTGGTACAATACCATTGATTGATGCAGGAAACATTGAGAAAAAGGTGACTCAGATCTGGTATGCTGATGACTCTGCTGCCGGGGGAAAACTAGAAGAAATGAGGAAATGGTGGGATAACCTCTGCATTAAAGGACCACTCTTTGGCTACAAACCCAAACTAAGACATGGGTACATACAGATTTACAGATTCCGTGTACTTGTACTGTGTATAGCGTGTTAAAAACCGTTGAACAATTACACGCACACAGTGATGAGCCAGTCTTATATATAATATATAAATATTTTTTTTCGTTTGTGATTGATTTTGCCCCCCCCCCCCCCCCCCCCCCCCCATGTCTAATTACAGTTTTAAATGGGAAAAGTTGTTGAGTTAAAATTGAATGAGTTTGTTTAAGATGTTCTGAGAAACTTGATTTAGAGATAGCTGTTGAAAAACAAACAAGGGCCTGTGACCAAATTTTTTTCAAAAAAATCAGGATGAGCCCCCGTCCCCCCTTAATTGCTATTAAATCATTAAATAAGTTTTACTTAAACTCCAATATTATCCCAGTGAATATGACATGGTATGTTATTCTCCTTTGCATCCTACCTTTCTCAGTAGTGTGGGCAAGTGATGTAAGGTGCAAATGTGTCTGCAAGACGGATATAGCTAGAGAGATAATCATCAAGACTGGAATAGATTTTGAAGAATGCAACTGTGAAAACGTAGTTGATGGAGCCTGGATGGATACATGCATGGCAAAGCAGTGTGAATGCAGCTATGATATAAGAAATACTTATGTAATAAAAGCCTCTGTAATTATAACAATATTGTGCATTACAACTATGCTGCTGTTCGTTGTGATAGACAAATCACTTTGGAAGTTTATCAGGATGCCTAGAAAGGTTTATGAGTGGAAACAGACTAATCTAGATAAGCGAAACAGAGTTTATGTCAACAGATCAATGTTACATTGACGGTCATTGGAAGTCTTTTAAAACTGATGTTTTGCTTTAAATTGAGGATCGCCCAAGTATTTAAAGGATTGTACTTACAAAAATACTGCGAATTTTATATGTATCTGCTAGATTTGGGTGATCAATTATATTTATTTGGTGTTCTAGGGTTTTGAGCTAGGGACCATTTACCAGCTGCTACAATGATAAATTGTAATTATTGTGATCTATTTCCAAACTATATAAAAACATACAAATTCCACTTATTCTTGTGAATTATTTTGTATACTGTTTTCCAACTATGATTGCGAAGCATGTTATTTTTATTGATAACCAAGGGTTGCTTTTTATTCAATTTTGTCAAATTTATACGAATAACGATTTTTGGTAATCAGCATTGCTTTGTTATCTTTATACCAGTTGTGCTAAACTTTTTAGTACTGTTTTTTTACAGAACTTGGCTGTAGATAATTTAATAGTATTTGAGCGAAATCCAAATGTACGGTAAACCGTAACCAATTCTCCAATGACTGAGTACCTCAAAGGTTTGCTAAAATACAACCTCTTATAAAATATTCATTCTTTATAATTATGGTGAGTACTGATAACAAATGATGGAGTAGTTCGCTGTTTATTAGTCTCATGATTGAAATACTGATAGTTGGATAATATCCGGTTGGAGGAGACAAGGACAAACGAAACAGGAAGTTAAGAATGTAGGAAAATTTTCGGCGTCAACGCCATCTTCAGGCTAAAATTGGTACAAATGTTAGTATACAATTATAAATGGTTCTACACTAGTTAAATGCTAAATTAAAATTACACACACTGAATACAGATATACATCAATTGTATACTAACATTTGTACCAATTTTAGCCTGAAGATGGCGAGTACTGATAAAGTTGATTACATCAACAGAGTATGTATAAATATAACCATAGCCAAATTATATATCAAAAACGTCATTTTATGTGCTTAGTAAGTATCCACCTATAATGCATTGCATCATCACTGTCAGGTTATTACCGTTGACAAGAAAGAAAGTTAAGTTTTGCTAAAATATTTTATTATCATTATGGATGAACTAACATTACATTGTCACATTAGTATGGCTGACAAGCAGGCAGCAGTTAGCCAAGCTGTAGCCGAGCTCCCTGTAAGTCGATGTTTTACTCTTTCATTTTACATATTATTACATTAGCCATATTTTGACATTTTAAACCCCCTACCCTTTTTAAGCCACTTCACACGTAGTTATTGTCTAAAAAGTCCCCTCCCCCTATGCTCGCTTTAATCAAATATGCGAGTGAGTACACATATTATATTGAATTGTCGGTGTTATAATATATGTTTAGGGATCACTTCTGCTTATTTTACTGTCCATCAACCCCAAATTATATCAGGAAGTTTAAGTTTTAGGAGAATTTTATCTAAGTTTCCTGAGAGTCTTAAAACATCTACTTTTGTTCTAGCTACGCGAAGATAATTAAAGTTATGCTAACAATATAAATTTGCAGGCACAGCAGCCGCAGGTTACAGCTCAACATCTGAATAGTTGTGTTTCTCAATTCAGGGAGCTCAATCCTAAAGTTTCTAAGTATGGTAAGCCTTACTTCATTAATCAAAAATGGGAAAGGAATTAACTGCTTTTCCACGGCTCTTACCCATTCGCCCACTTAGTTAATTCTGGTTAATGATTATTATATATATCATTGTTCTATGGTTTTAAAAAGATCTTCTACTTTGATTCCAAAAGTGAAGGTATTCGAATTCTCGTACTTTGATTTGAGCTGGTAATCGGATTTCAATATCGCCCTTATTCTTGTTTACCTAATGCTTATCGAATGATGAATTCACGTACTGGCTCCCCGAAAGCAACGTTTTGCCAGTAAAGTGGCAAAGCTATACTGTAAACGTAACGCGCAGCGACAATTGAGCATCACAATAAAAGTCGATCATCCTCCTAAAAGACGCGAGGTGCGTGCGCGTAAAAACATGATCTCAGAAGTCAATGTGATAAGAACTTTCTAAAATAAGAAAACAAAATATCGCATATTTTGTATCGGCATTCCGCTCTTAAATCACGTTTTTCTTTCAGTGTACGACAACGGGCAAGAGTTCAAGATGATCTGCCTTTCTGGTACCATCCCCATGCCTTACAAAGGAAACACGTACAACATCCCCGTCAACATTTGGATCCACAATGACTATCCCAATCAGGCACCAATAGTTCTAGTGACACCTACTAGAGAAATGCAGATAAAACCTAGTAAAATAGTGGACAGTAATGGGAGGGTGTATCTGCCTTATCTACACGAATGGAAAGCAAGACAGGTATGTTCGGTATTTTGGGTTTATCGGCTTCCAATTATGATGATGTGTCCCCACTCCCCTGATAAATTATTGCTCACACTGTTAAGAATCGACTTTCATGTTCCCTAACTCGTTATAACTTGGAGAATATTCTAAAACAGCAGTCCCCCAATACTCCCTGATCCTAACAGAGTGTTCCCTCTCAGGGCTACGATCTGATCAGTCTTGTAAACATCCTGTGTATGGAGTTCAGTTCCTCCCCGCCCCTCTTCGCCCGCAGTGCGGCGGCCCCGCCCCGTCCCAAACCCACCTACTCTCAGCAACCCCCCAGTGCCGGGTACAATCCAAACCAGTATCCGGGCTATAACCAACCCACCAGCACTCCTAATATTGGCTGGAACGTGGCTAACCGTGAGTACACACCACTTCTCTTTAACGACACCAACTAATAATAAGAGAAAATTTGACACTATTGTGACTATAACTGATAACTCAGGGCTGGGTAGAACCGCTGGTAAGGTAAAGAGTGCATTAACGGGGGCGGTAACCGTGGTAACCACTGAGTCGGCCGACCGTAAGTTATGAATAGCGTTTCTGTAGACAGTCAATTAAGTGAACTGTGGCTGGCTGATATTTGTTGTCATGGTAACGTATTGGTTAGTGAATAATTTGCAACATGTTCACGCACTGCCTCTAACACCGGCTAAAGTAACCGAAAATCGCCGAATTTATATCAGAGTTTTTCACAAATTTCTTTTTGATAACACCTATTTTCAGAGCAACAGCAGCAACAACCTCCTCCTCCTCCTCCTCCGCCAACTGGGTAAATACTTTATTACAGTTGTTAAATATTTCATCTTATTTAGTAGTAGACGGCTACTTACACAATTCACATGTTAACTGAGAAAAGGAAACTGTAAATTGCAATACCTTGAATAATTCTCTGAATAATAATAAATAAAATTTTATCTGTGAGGGACGGAGAATGTTATTTACATCTGCTAATAATCCTACATACAGTATTATACATTATACTCTATGGTAGGGATTCTTCCTCAATCTAAAATGTGGATTGTAACCAAAAGCATTAAAGTCGTCCTTATACACAGCTTGTAGGTCCCACAACATATTCTCATCTAACTGTGAGAAGTAGTGAAAAACGAGTTCGTGAGGGTTGCGTCCCTTGACACTAGGGTTACCATGGGAACCTGCTATGTCTGGATACCGCGCTTCCTCTCCTAGAGTCTTCAGCAGGAAATAATGATCCCGCTCCAACGTTTCGAACTTTTCTATAACTTGATACTTCTTAGAACAGACATCACATGACTTGGTTACTTGAATCCAGTGAAAGTCTGGCCACACCCCATTCATAAAGTTAGATATGATCAACTGCATAACCTCTTTAAAGGTAGCTCCCATAGGGTTCATATAAGGGTTATCTTTATCTATCTGTCTCTCATCTAGAGGTTTTAAACACTCACTCCGCGCCTCTTCTATCAGTCTTGCTTTCTCCTCGGGAGAAAACTTCTGTTCAGTTTTTCTGTGCAGCTGAAATATTTTGACCATGACCCCGTCTGGATTTGAGTACATACGGCTGACACAATCCTTAAACTTGTTAGTGTACATGCTGACTAATCTCTCGTAAGGGTGGCGTACTGTTAGGAACTTTACTGAATCTGCTAACCCACTCCTCAGATCACTCAGTGCTCCCAACCCATCAAACTCTGGTTGAGTTTTACTCTGCTGCTTCAATTTAATTTCTAGGTTTCTAACTGAGTAATCCGTCATTAGTTCTCCCAACGGACAGTAAGGATCCTGATCAGTCTTAATCCGCCATTCATCGTACACATCTGGAAGGTATATTTTACAAAAGAACTGTTTCCAGTTAGTACTCGCCGCTTTGAACACCGGGCACCAACCCATCCTCAGTTCCGGGAAGTAAAAGATGAAATCTTGCTCGTGCTTCACGTATCTTCTGATCCCTGCACAGCTCTTTTCGAGAGTTTCAAGTCTCTTATCAATAATAGCTTGCGTTCTGTTGTGATAACGCTCAAACTGAGATACCTGATCAATATCGGGGTCAAAATATTCCGGTAATATGTCCTCTGTGACAGATGGGTATATTTTAATATTAGGAGCATCATAGAGCCAACTCACAGAATCCTGTTTTATAGTCTCAGGTTTAACGACACTCTGAGTAACACCTTTATTGGACTCAGGTTTATATGTAACACCCTGAGTAACACCCTGAGTAACAACACCCTGAGTAACACCCTGATTAGTCTCTGTGTGGTAAGTAACTTCCTGGCCTGATAACCCATTTACTCTTGGATCTGTGACCTCCTTATCTGGCCCAAACTCTTGTAAGTCAGCTAACAAGTCTGTAAAATGGACAACATGATTGTCATGTATCAGGTCATGTGTTTGCTTCTCAGTGTGTAGTTTAGCAGACTGAGTAGTTACACTGTTTCTAGGCTTGGTGGTGGGAGACAGGTTAATAGAACTATTGTACCAGTGTAGTAAAATCAAGAGAGAGAGTAAGGTTGTTATCATCATAAACTTGGTCCTCGTCCGGCATCGCCACATACATCGCATATCAAATACTGGAGCTAATATGTTGGTTACTTAGCAATATCAAATACTGGAGCTAATAAAAATTTGGTAACTTAGCAATATCAAATACTGGAGCTAATAAAATGTTGGTTACTAGCAATATCAAATACTGGAGCTAATAAAATGTTGGTTACTTAGCAATATCAAATACTGGAGGTAATAAAATGTTGGTTACTAGCAATATCAAATACTGGAGCTAATAAAATGTTGGTTACTTAGCAATATCAAATACTGGAGCTAATAAAATGTTGGTTACTTAGCAATATCACATACTGAAGCTAATAAAAAGTTGGTTACTTAGCAATATCAAATACTGGAGCTAATAAAATGTTGGTTACTTAGCAATATCAAATACTGAAGCTAATAGAAGTTGGTTACTTAGCAATATCAAATACTGAAGCTAATAAAAAGTTCGTAACTTAAAGTTCGTAACTTAAAGATTTGTTCGATAGTTCGGACAAATCTTACGCTAATTGACTGCTAGTAGAAACCTAAAATAGAACATGTAACACTGTCCAGTAATGCAGGGAACTAAAAGGAATCACTTTACTTGATACGGGTGGGGATTACCAGTTGAGTAAATTAAATTCTCCATTTACAAGCATTAGTATATTATCTAATATTACAGTATTACGCGAAAAGCGGTGGAATATAAGTGAATATGCTGGATTGAGGATCAAGGACAAGACATGAAATACCTCCAAAATAAATACAATAAACTGGCACTAATGAAACTACCAAATGAAACCAGAAACCCTACAAGACGTATTCCCATAAACAAGAAACAAACTGTGTCGGTCAGTACAAACAGGCTAAGCGTGTGGGGTGTGGAACACACAACACTACACAAAAGGTTGGAGTGTGTGTGGTAATGTTATTGCAGAGCTGTTATATCAAACTAATAACAGTCTGTGATGACGTGTACAGGACACACAACACAACAGGCCTCCCCTGCAACGTGGCCGGTATTCATCAATATATTTAGTGTCTCCAGGACATATCACCTTACACCTGTCAATCATGTAGGGTGTTTTAATGTAGTAAGTAGTGTATACTCTGCATAGTGTGTATACCATGTAAAGTGTGTACAGTGTCTAGTGTATATATAGTATCTAGTGTATATAGTGTATACTCTGCAGAGTGTGTATAGTACCATGTATATTGTGTACAGTGTGTCTAGTGTATATAGTGTTGTGTTACATGAGCCGTGTAGTGTTAGATATCTCTTGAGTACACCCTGTATTATTCAGTGGATACATATTGTTGTGTAACATTATATTATATAGTATATTGTATAATTGTATACTACATATTATAGTATATCAACTCTACAATGGAATGTGTGGTCAAGAGGATCTGAAAAAAATGTATATCTTTATATTATTTCGATATTCAAATAAATTTAACATAAATGTATCGAACAATTATATTTACACAAGACCAAAATATCTGCAATAAGGCAACAATACTACCAGGCAGCAGCTGGAGTGAGAAAATATGTATAAATATTGAATATGTGTTATATTTCAGCGGAGTGGGCAGTGGTTTCAGTCAGAAGATATGTATAAATATTGAATATGTGTTATATTTCAGCGGAGTGGGCAGTGGTTTCAGTCAGAAGATATGTATAAATATTGAATATGTGTTATATTTCAGCGGAGTGGGCAGTGGTTTCAGTCAGAAGATATGTATAAATATTGAATATGTGTTATATTTCAGCGGAGTGGGCAGTGGTTTCAGTCAGAAGATATGTATAAATATTGAATATGTGTTATATTTCAGCGGAGTGGGCAGTGGTTTCAGTCAGAAGATATGTATAAATATTGAATATGTGTTATATTTCAGCGGAGTTGGCAGTGGTTTCAGTCAGAAGACTCTACAAAGGGAGGACACACAGGAGATCATCAAAAATAGCATGGTGTCTAAGATAGAACACGACCTTAAACAGAGATACAAGATATTCTCGGACAGATATGAGGTACTTTGTAACACTACTGTTGTAGAATATTTAGGTAGAGATTTGCTGTAAAATATGCAATTAACACCACGGTGACCGGATAACACCACGGTTAGCGGGTAACACCACTGTTACCGGGTAACACCACGGTTACCGGGTAACACCACGGTTACCGGGTAACACCACGGTTACCGGGTAACACCACGGTTACCGGGTAACACCACGGTTACCGGGTAACACCACGGTTACCGGGTAACACCACGGTTACCGGGTAACACCACGGTTACCGGGTAACACCACGGTTACCGGGTAACACCACGGTTACCGGGTAACACCACGGTTAACGGGTAACACCACGGTTACCGGGTAACACCACGGTTACCGGGTAACACCACGGTTACCGGGTAACACCACGGTTACCGGGTAATAATAATAATAGGATTATGGCCACATAGCCATCTCGACAAAACTTGAAACCCAACTGCACTCTACGCTATTGCAGTTCGCACAATATTTTCAAAAAGAAAAATGTTCCTATCCGGAACATGTAATGATTAATTATTTTAAGGACGTTAACATGTAGTTCTGAATTTAACAATCAAGATACATTGATTCCTCGGTATTTAGCAATCAATGGGTTATTGGACATGAAATATGCATATGAATCATGCTCACATGTATTTATTTTTGACATCAAGGTTTCGCTGAGATCCCAGAAGTGACCCTTTGACGATGCTCCACTCGCTATCAGTTCATTTTTATAACATTGAAGTCGAGCTTTGAATGCGTCTACTGAACTGGCTTCTTTAACCGAACTTGGTACTTTGTTCCAGTAATTGGCAACCCGGTTACTGAGGACCTGATTTCCTCTTTTATCTTTTAGGATCTTGGTACCGCTACGTGATATCCTGAAAAGATCTTGTCCATAGTCCACTTTACCCGTCGTTATTTTAAAGGTTTCAATAAGATCACCCCTCATACGGCGCTCCAGTAGTGTTGTTAACTGGAGGATTCTCAGTCTCTCATCGTATGGTAGGATACCAATCCCGTCGATTATTCGTGTAAATTCTCTCTGAACATCTTCTATCTTCTTAATAGTCCTCCAGTTTCCGTGCTCTGCTGGTAGATTCCACACTTGCACAGCGTATTCGATGTGAGGTCGAACTAGAGTTCGGTAGACATTTAGCATAACAAATTTGTTACGGCAGATCAAGCTTCGTTTGATCCAGCCTATAACAGACTTTGCTTTTTTCACGGACTTATCTATATGGTCACTCCAGTCCAGGTTTCTGGTAGTTAGAACTCCAAGATCCTTTTCTGACTTCACTTGGGGGAGGCATTCCCCATTCATGAAGTACTCATGCATTGGATTGTTACGCCCAATATGTAGTACCTTACACTTGCCATCCTTCACATTGAATCTTAGGAGCCATTCCTTCTCCCACGCATTGAGTTTCAGTATATCATCTTGTGCAACACTGTGCTTAGCTAACACCACGATTACCGGGTAACACCACGGATACCGGGTAACACCACAGTATATTTCCTAGGCGGAGATGAACGCTTTACATCAACAAGAGCAGGAACTTGTGGCCGGAAAAGAGCAAATTGGCGACGTTCTGACCAGAATTGATGATGAAAAGGTAAAGTCTAAATTTTACTGTATTGCCTTTTACACTGGATCATGTTATTATTCGGAAGTATTTTAAGCGGGGGGGGGGACCACATAGCGGAGACGAGTCAGTTGGGGGGGGGGGTGGGGAGGACCACATGAAGTTCTAACGTTCTATTATAACCAGCTGAAGATAGGGGAGACAATAGAACTATTTAAAACGAAGGACGGAGAACTGAGAGACTTCTTGTCACAACACGAACGAGATTCTGAGGAAAACCAAGTGGACCAACAGATCGAACCGAAAGAGGCTCTTTTCAAACAGTCAGTATTTTCATCTTCTAAGAGCTCGTTACCCATGTTTTAATGACCCGTCTAAGAGCTCGTTACCCATGTTTTAATGACCCGTCTAAGAGCTCGTTACTCAAGTTTTAATGACCCGTCTAAGAGCTCGTTACTCATGTTTTAATGACCCGCCTAAGAGCTCGTTACCCATGTTTTAATGACCCGCCTAAGAGCTTGTTACTCTTTGTTTTAATGACCCGTCTAAGAGCTCGTTACTCATGTTTTAATGACCCGCCTAAGAGCTTGTTACTCTTTGTTTTAATGACCCGTCTAAGAGCTCTTTACCCATGTTTTAATGACCCGTCTAAGAGCTCGTTACTCAGGTTTTAATGACCCGTCTAAGAGCTCGTTACTCAGGTTTTAATGACCCGTCTAAGAGCTCGTTACTCATGTTTTAATGACCCGTCTAAGAGTTCGTTACTCCGCAGGTATTTGAACTTGTTCGCTGAGGAGAGTGCTCTGGATGACGCTATCTACTACTTAGCTGAGGCTCTGAGAAATGACGTCATAAACATTCAAGTTTTCTTAAGGGTACGTCAATCTTGATAGAGTAGCTGTTTACTGAGGAAGTGTTTTATCCCTGGTAACGATATGAGGCCATCTTGACACTTAATCTATCACTAATTGCAATTACATATTACAAAGGGAACTGTTGTGGGTTTGTTAATATTATCACTTTCATTTCCCTCAGAACGTTAGGACTTTAGCAAGGAAGAAGTTCATGGTGAGAGCACTGATGAACAAGGTCAGAGAACAAACAAACAAATGTGAGATCAAATGAGATGGTTAAAGTCGTCCCTTGTTCTTATGAGAACCAGGATTCAGGGGTAGCTTTGGTAACTAGGGGTGCTGGCGTCAGAAAGTGGTGGAACTTCAGGTCGAGAATTTCACAAATGTGTGTTCTTCTCCATTTTCTAACATCGGTGCCCCTACCTAGCCTGAGGGTAGTCTATGTTCAAAATGCTGTAGACAATTTTCAGGAAATTCTTGTGTAGACTTTAAAGAGAACGATTGACATATTGCTATGCTATATTTTGATTAACTAATTAAGAGTAATTAGATATCCGTTCCACATAATATATTTTAAAAGGATTGTTGATGAATTTTTAAATGATAATAGTAGTACTATACTACACTATGATGGTCATGTTATTGATTGTTTACTATAAGTTTGAGGTGACAGATGATTATCCACCACAGTAGAGGTTCTACTTTCCAGCTCATACAACATCTCTAAACTCTTGATCTTGTAGCTTTAACTGCGTTTAAAGCAGGTAACTAATGGAATGATGATTGAACTGATATTATAATTCTAAGCCTGTAGAGTAAGGAGTGTGGACTGCTAGGGACTGTTTACTGTTAGGGATTGTTCACAGACTCACAGATAAAGTCAGCAGCAGCAATAGCAGCAAATCTGGGGAAACTTTGAAATACACCAATTTGAAGCATTTAACCCCCCTTAAAAATCAAAGATTATGAATTTTAGTAATCTGATTATTTACATAGGTCCAAAAATGTCATAGCTTCATGATAGTGCAACGAAAAAAATCTCAGAACATTTTGGTGCTGAGTTAGGTGGTTAAGTAGTCGAAAAATGACTGATTTGTTAGTGGACATTTTTTATACCTCTAACACCCAAACCCTTACTACAGTGAAGATATAAGTACTACAGTTAATATTGATGGTCATTATTGAACAAAAATGGTTCATTGACACATAGTTGAAGAAGGAAATTAAAAAAATTAATAAATGTGGTCTGTGGAGTGGTTTATTTGTTTATGTTATAGTGTACGCGTGCGCGCGCGCTAGCGCGTACTTAACCATCTGTAGGCCAACATATTTAGTCTAGGCTTAAATTCTTTATATATTATGTCACCACTATGGTGCCCAATACTTTTAGTGAAGGTTTGATGTAGAACAGTTAACCACCAACTGTGGTATATCAAAAAAACCATGTTTGTACGCGTGCGCGCGCTAGCGCGTACTTAACCACTTGGAATGGCACAGCATTGAGTTATCACCATAATTCCAAAAGCAGAAGACACCATCCAGGTGCCCAAAACTTTTGGCTATGGTCCCAATACCACAAAACCTTACATGTGGCCATAATGTGGTTAAAACATGTTTATTTTGGACTTTCGGTCAACAGAAGCCATCACAAATTAACCATTATTCAGCAACCTCCGAACTTTTTGTGCCTTATTTTGTTTTGATATTTGATTATGAGAGATAGCTGGAGGATAATAAGTGATTTTAAAGATAATGCAACAAAATGTGTGGCCGTATGGTGGTTAAAACGACCAAAAACACTGATTTTGGTCAATTTTAGACCTTTATTAACCATGATGGACGCAACATAGGACTCAGCAATGTTTCTGGTCATATAAATGAGCAGGTAGTTATATCTAGATAATGTAGCATGGCCAGCTATAGCTTTACAAAGCTAATATGTGCTCTAAAAATGGTTAATTAGCGCAAATATAGGGTATTTTCGAGACATTTTAACCACCTTAGCTGCACATTGATCGGAATGCATGAACTTGGGGTCAATTATGCATTTGCAAACAAATATACACTCATTTGGATAGCAAACCATTATCTGAAGTTCATATTGTGGTTAATTTTCACTTTAATAGATGCCTTGTTCAACAGCCTAGCAAGTAATATAGCCCTTTTAACCACTTTTATGACAACATTTCTTGATAAATTTTATCAAGACCCTTCAAATGTCCTTTGTTGACCATAAAATGTTGACTAAAATCATTAATAATGTTTTGATTGGTGGTTAACAATAAATTTTGACATTTTAACCATCTTTTTAGCACTTTTTACGAATATTAACCACCTCAAATCAACCATACTATTAAATTGCACATTTGTGATAAAAAATTATCATCCATACACAAATGAACAACCAACACTATACATCTATAATCAGAGCAATATTTATAGCTCACCGTTCATCTTCAATTTAACCACCATTAGGACCACAAAATGCCCCCAATGAGGTTTGAAAACTTTTGTGATAGTTGCACCATGATATGATCTCAATATAATGACTACTCAGTTCATAATATCATATCTCAAAATGGTGGTTAACCCTAAAACTGGTATTTTAACCACCATAGTGGCCACATAGATGACCCATTAACCACAATTATTCAACATGACCGTACTGCAGTGTTTTGTGCACCAGAAAAACATCACTCCAACATTGAGATTAACCACAATGAGCTGCAACATAATGTTGAAGTCAACATACTCAAATTGTGTGAAAATAGTCAATGTCCACCAAGTTTCCCCAGATTTGCTGCTATTGCTGGCAGGATTTTTCAGAATAAGACACCCCCATTACCAAGTTTGCAATATAGTGTAGAAATGATATACGCGTTGTAAGTATTTTCACATTTTCTAACCCCCTCCGCTTGGAGCTAACGCGATATGTGAACGATCCCTTATTCGGCGATACCATGAACCACACTACACTTGAGCAAGGTCTTGATAGTTATTGTAAATACTCATGATATTAAGGAATAAGAAGCGAATGTTTTGTTTTATATATTTTCTGTTAGAATTTACCATTCAATTGTTGAGATATTATTCGTTTCATTTCTTTACATTGGGACGGCATAAATTGTCTAACGATATATATTAAATAACTACATGTCTGAATTATATGCTCAGTAATTTTCTAATCATATGTTCATTAAGTAAATATAGTGTTACCTATTAATGTTTTTAGGATGTTCAGAGGACGAAATGAGGGTCTTCGCTCTGTTTAAATTGAATGGAGATTCTCATTATCTCTATTATAATTCAAAGAATTATTTCTGTACGACCGCCCACGTGCAAATCAAACGAGAAATAGGAATTTAGGTAACAACCAAAAGGTTCCATAGCAACGGTGTTTTAATGCACACGTCATGCACGTGCAAAGATTGCTTTAACGTCATTTTGATCGGTTTTGTGGTAATTACGTTGTGTTTAAAGTGTTTTATATTTAAATCAGCTGTATCTTCGGTTGAGATGGATATTTTTTGATGCGATTAAAACTTTATTTCAAAGAATACTACTAGCTTCGTCCCTGTTACCACGGGCTTTCTAGTCTCTACTATAATTCAAAAGATTCTTTTTGTCTGTACGACCGCCCACGTGCAAATTCGGCAAAAAGCAAAAGGTTGCAAAGTAACCATGGTAACTTTGTTACACGAGGGTTGTTACACGCACGTGCACGTGCAAAGATTGTTAAAACGGCATTTTTATCGGTTTTGTTGATATTACGTTGTGTTTAGTGCGAGCAACATTTTAATCGGCTGTATCTTCGGTTGTGTAGGATATTTTGACGCGATTTAAACTTACTAACAAAAAATACTATTTAAGCTTCCTCCCTGTGACCACGGGTTTTCTAGTCTGTTTATATAATTCAGAGAATTGTTTTTGTTGTCTGTCTGTACGACCGCCCACGTGCAAATCAGACGAGAAATAGGAAGTTGCGTAGCAACCATGGTAACGAGGATTATTACACGCACGTGCACGTGCAATGATTGTTAAAACTGCATTTTGATCGGTTTTGTTGATATTACGCTGTGTTTAGTACGAGCAATATTTTAATGGGCTGTATCTTCGGTTGTGTAGGATATTTTTTGACGCGATTTAAACTTACTAACAAAAAATACTATTAGCGTCCTCCCTGTGACCACGGGTTTTCTGGTATGTTTATAAAGTTAACTATTAGTGTTTATAGGATGGCCTTATTTAAATCTGTTTATAAAGTTAACTATTAGTGTTTATAGGATGTCCTTATTATCTGTTTATAGTGTTAACTATTAGTGTTTATAGGATGTCCTTATTATCTGTTTATAGTGTTAACTATTAGTGTTTATAGGATGGCCTTATTATCTGTTTATAGTGTTAACTATTAGTGTTTATAGGATGGCGTGCCCGGTCCTTCCCAAGATAGACCTTACAGCAAAGAGTATTGTAGAACAGGAATCATCATTGTTGTCTTTAGCAACCACATCTAGCGGCTACGTCTCTCATGAGAGTCAACCTCAAGATCACCAGGGTGATAATGACTATCACCATGGTGACAATATTAATGACTATAACGTGGAATTTGAGAAATCTGTTAATCAACATTTCTCAAACTGTTACGGTGAAGAAGAGCTTCTAGTGACTCAACAGAGGATAAAGTGTGGGTAACTTAATGTTGTCATGACGACCCATGCCCATTGCCCATGGATGCTATTATTTAGATTTTAGATTCATTTTAGAAGAGATTTCTTACCCCCGAAACTTATATTCATTCAATCGTGTTATGAAATGTTGATTGTTCATGTTATGAGTTTGTTCATGTTCTAGATCTGAAAGAGAAATTAGATGGAGAAGGGGAGCTTATCCATGAGCTGATGGACTCTATGAACGAGATAAGGAAAATATCAGAAACTCCAACTAAAGTGGAAATAGTTCGCCCGAGAAAAGGTAGTCATAATTTAAATAGCCTGTCAAGTAAACAAATTCCTACCAGACTCAAACTTAACTGATTTTTCCAATTCTTTATTCGAAATATTATGTACTAATATATGTGAATTGTAAATTTATTTTATTTTTTATTTATTTTCTCGAATAATGTCCAAACGCGTGATAGTGCCTTCGGGCAGAACTCTTCGATGACTTAACATAAGATGATCATAATATTCAGAGTTTGGATGTCACGCAAATATTTAAATTTTCTACACTATCTCTCTCCACAGAGTGCATGCCAGAAAAGGACCTGATGAACTACCTTCACAAGCTTCACGCATCAAATGTACCTGATCACAGGAGAGGTTTCTAATTCTGTACAAGCTCTTGTTTTAAGTCGCATCACAACCAGATATTATATCCTTTCTGTTGGAAACTATTGGGCAATCCACTTAATACGAACAACGTTTAAATAATGAGGCCAGCTCAAACTCAAAGCTGAGAGTGAGACATTGCCTATTCAGTATTCATGATCCACTTCGCACATTTCCCGAAGTTTCCCACCTCTCCCTTTCTGTGACACATAGTTTATGTTGTTCTGCCCCTATTTCAAATTTGATTCTGATCTCTGACACTTCTCCCCAGATTTGTTGGAAGAAATGCACAGTAACCACAACTTATCCTGCAAACAGCTCAGTAAGTGCGGGGTGTGTCTCTTTTCGTGTTACATTGTTAGTGTCATATTTATCATGTTTATAGTATGGTGGGGTAACTGTGGTTTGACATAAAATTCCAAAAAAATTCGGTCCTAGGGAGTCGCCTGGTATTAAACAAGTAGTCCAGTCGGTAGACGGTAATAGTATTAAAGTATAAGAGTGTAGGGTAGAGTAAAAATCAGACTCGTTAGATATTTTTTACTGATTCTCCTCTCGAATCTTCGATTGGAACCTCGCCAGATACCATGTTACCATGGTTACGAACCTGAAAGCCATACTTCCTATAATATTAGCAAGTATCAAACTATAATTTCCGCATATTTATATATGGTTTGGAAAGATATTATTTAAATCGCTAAATTTAGACCAAAATTTTCTTCAACGAGCAGAGCAGAAAATAGGAAAATAGGTCTCCCTATATGCGAGCTATTAAGATACAACTACAAGTAAAGAAAATACCCGTTAACTATCACCTTCCCGTGAACTGGTATAATACTGTCTCTACTGCAGGTATAATACTGTCTCAACTGCGGTACCTAGCCGAGAAAGACCAGACAGTTCGCCTCTTCTGTCCTCACATCCTAGATCCGGAGAATTTGCCAGATCTTGTACAGTCTTTGGAGGATGACTCATTCCAAGACAAAACAATCATCACATCCATCGTCAACTGTATTGCGGATTCTCTGTAATCGTCAGCATATTTATATCATCATCACCTGATCATATGATGATTTCCACTTTCATTCCCACTAGGACAGCTATTTGTGATGTACACGTGTTTTAATGATTCAGCTGAGACAGTTTGCTTTAATTATATATTTTTCAAATTGAATTGAAGAAAGGTCAGTGTATGATTTTTGGTAATTTTTGTGACTACATCATTTTGTTAGCAGTTAATTGAATATAACTATAAGTATAACGTTGTTTAACCAAGACAGTGATTCAAAGAAATGCTTATCTTCGACTAATTTGCATTTAGGCTCGTCTGCGAATTTAGTGAAATCATTATCATGTTTGAGTTTCTTGTTGAGTTGATATAAGGAATGGCGAATGGAATAAGCATTTGATTATAATTATATTATAATATATTAATATAATATGCAGCGTACTTTGCAAGTTTTGTAACGCTTTGTAAATATACGATTACACATATACAGTGTATATAATCGGACATATTAATTTATTCGATATTTATTATCAGTATCACATTCACGATTAATTTATGTTTCATTTTGTAAATCAAACAATGAATTTCTTGGCTCTTACTAATTCGCTCGCCCAAAAATTTCACGTGACTTTGGTTTTTATGATTTTGCAGCCGTACAAAACGGTTTTCCATGAACCCTAGTCCCAACCCTAACCCTAACCATAACCCCAAAACTATCCATAACCCTTACCACAACTCTAACCCGAGCCCTAAACAATCGAATTCATGTTTTACTAGCCTGTCACGTGACCAAAACGGTTTTTTGCCCATAACTGATAACTCTCCAGGGAAGCATTTTTACCCTACGTCATGGCTCTTACTAATTCACTCGCCCAAAAATTTCACGTGACTTTGGTTTTTATAGTTTTTCAGCCGTCTAAAACGGTTTTACATAAACCCTAATCCCAACCGGCCAACCCTAACCCTAGGCCTAACCATAACCCCGAAGCTATCCATAACCCTTACCACAACCCTAACCCTAACCCGAGCCCTAAACAATCGAATTCATGTTTTACTAGCCTGTCAGAGTGTCACGTGACCAAAACGGTTTTTTGCCCATAACACATAAGCATTTTTACCCTACGTCATGGGGGGTGATTCGGAATCAGCGTCCAAAAATACACCGATTCGAACCAATTTCACACCCAAAGGGCCTTTTCACAATAAACTTTCTCGGATTTTCAAAATTTGTGTACCATTGTTATCTAGAGACTGTAACTGTAAGAATTTTCACAGTACCAAATTTGTCATACCAAAATTAGGTGTAAAAGTTGCGTAATTTGACGAAACTTGAAATTCGTTCGCGTTGATTTTTGTCGTATTATTCTGTCATATCTTCGGTTCCTTAACAATAACATGAATCTTACTGGGCCGCGCTCAGCCTGTCATTCCGCCGAATCTCTATTCGGCGTGTTATGTTTATGAACATAATAGCCTGAGGTCCCCTGCAGGTAACATGAATCATGCTGAAAATTTGTCAGAACCTTCCAATCATACTTATAAACTACCGAACCTAAATTAGTTGGGAGGGATTGGACTTGATTATAAGAGGTCTACAAATGACAAAATAGGTATAAATTCGTTGATAACTCAAATTCTGACCATCGAAATTGCTCAAACTAATTTAGATTCAGTAAAACATAAGTGTGTACGTGACCTGACCAAATTTCAACAAAATTGTTATATTGTAAATGGGGAGTATTATAACTTTTTGATCGTTTCCGAAATAATGTGCTGGCCGAAATATGAGCTAGAAGTAAAACAAAAATTGTCAATAGAGTGATTAATCATTATATTATCCGTTTTGGAAAACTTTGACGGATGTTACTCGTCTAAATTTCTTCGAAGTAGCGCGCGCCGCTTTCTTCTCGACGGCACGAGCTACGAAGTAGCGCGCGCCGGGCCAGATCATTAATTACAATGGTCAAGGAAGACTTCGCCGCTTCGACGCGCCGCGCAAACTAGCATTCTTCCTTCGTCGTCTCGATGGATTGACATCGTCAATCAATATCCGTTTTAATTTTAATTGATTGGGTGAGCTTTTATTAATTCGCTCGCCCGAAAATTTCACGTGACTTTGGTTTTTATGGTTTTGCAGCCGTACAAAACGGTTTTACATAAACCGTAATCCCAACCCAACAATCTTTACTGGCTGCGGCAATATTACTACAGGTGATTGCGTCTTCACAGCTTGTTGAGCTCCGCGCGCGCTCGTAAGTTCATTGCATTTGCATGCTTCAAACATTCCAAGAATGCAATTGCACCACGTACCACGTGATACAATTCAGCCAATCAGAGAACAGGAATCCGCAAAGTTAAAGCTGTGCACTTTTATAAGGCCCAAAATCATAATTTTCAGGATAATTCGATGTTCAAAATCTACGTTGTTTTAAATTTCCCCCTGGGGGGAAACGTTTTTTTACAAAGCGAACATTTCGCAAAAAACCGAAATTGAAAGTCGCTATCTCTATGAAGTTAGGCCCCTACCACTACCAGTAAGGTTTTCTCATGGGAACCCAGGAACCCTAACCCTAACCATAACCCCGAAGCTAACCATAACCTTTGGCCTTACCACAACCCTAACCCGAGCCCTAAACAATCGAATTCATGTTTTACTAGCCTGTCACGTGACCAAAACGGTTTGTCGCCCATAACTCTCCAGGGAAGCATTTTTAGTTTTACCTTACGTCAAGTCGACCACAAAGAATTACTTAACTCAGGCATGAAGCAATTCGTAACTCAAACTGAGCAATATGCCCGCACGTGCCACGTTTGTATACTGACCAGTCCACCACAAATGAACACATAAAAGGTGATCTGAAATTGAAACTAGTTTGATTTGCAATCTCTCGGTTCAACAGAAATGGCGGTCTCGTGATATAAGTTGTTCCGTGCAAAGCACAATTGAACTGCTTCCCGAATCCAACTATAATGAAGTATTTAAACTTGGTCCGTAGTCTTCGTGGAATTTGGATAGATCTTTATAATTCAATTCGTGGTGGTCCCGTGACCTGTCAAAATGGGTTAGACGGGTTCCTGCTAGTAGACTTGAACCTGTCGACAATATTTCAGGAATGATTCCCGCAAGAAATTATATTCCTTCGTTTTGCTCTGATCCCTACTCTGGAACTAACTGCTGATGGAATTTCATACGATTCGTTGATTTTTTGTAAAAATTGAACTTACATTTTATAAAATTCCGATATTCTTCAAAGGTTGAGAAATTCCGAATCTTATGTTTAAGTAAGAATTTTCATTGTGTCTTATCGAAAGTGAATGAGAGAAACACTTGTGACAATTTTATTTACTGGTCTCTTATTTGTAAAGCTATCCTCAATACATTCAATGACAAAGTGTGATAACCGTTAAAACAGGGGTCGAATTCACAAAAATAACGTAAACCGTTGATTTAAAGCAATCGCCGCTCCTGTCTCTTGATTGCTGATGATGATCAGGAACGCATGACGTATAAATATCATCACGACGATTATTGGTCACTCGAAATCGACCCGTTAAGAATGCAATGTAAGTGCGATGGTTTTTTTGTGCATTTGTTACCTGTTACTAATTAATCCACAGGATCAAAATGTTTATTGTATCGATAAAAATGGATTTTAAGGCATAAGGAAGCATTGTTGAGTTCTGAAACCAAGTTTAATCGATTTCTCGTGCAATTTTTGGTCAGGAGTGGTCATCAAAATAAATTTTGAACTAAGTCGATATTTTGGTAAATTTCTAGCTTTCTGTCAGAAAATAAATCTTCATTCTATTAGGGGTAATTGGATGTAACTACAGTACAGCTGTACTTACACCCACTTTCACAAGCATGCAAGCTCACCTGGTCCAAAGAGCGGGAAACGGAGAACGAGCTCTGGTGACGTCATAGTCACGTGACCTCAGGTTCATAATCACGTGACCTCAGACCCAATCAATTGGGTTCTGGCCTGTTCAGCCCCCTGTCACCCGATCTTGAGGTGACGTACGACAACTCGTTAACCCAATCGATGTCTGGAGGGCTGCAAATTTTCACATGCCAAACTCACAACGTTTTTTCGGAGTTGTGCGAGATGACGACACATAGAGGCCGCAGAATTATGAGGACTACCAGATCCCAGGGACAAAAGGAAATCGCGGCATGTACGGAATCGCGATTTTTCCCATTATTTGCGACAAATTTTATGTATAGTTCATTGTATAGTCTGTTAAAAATCGCGGTATCGCGAATTTTGGCCAAAATAATCGCGAAATCCTTTTGTCCCTGCCAGATCCTGGTGGAACCTACTTTACTTTGGGCGATCCTCAATCGAAATCCCATTCACTGTCTGCCTCCACACGTCTCGATCGCACATAACAGTTCGAAGGTCGTCTAACTGGAGCCCAGTGTCACGAGCTACTACGTCCAGGAAGGTGAGTGGTCTCCTAATTATTAGTGTTGACTCTCATTGACCATCAATGAAAGAATTCTTTAAGAGTATCAGTAAGTTCAACAAAAACGAGTTTTCGTGATCTTGCTGCTGCTGCACCTAATTGATGTTGCTGCACTGCGACAATTTTTGCTACACGTTGTATACCTAGTTTACACTTTAGTGTTTAGCTCTCGTGCACGCGAAGCGTGAACTCCGGCTGGCCGGCCAGTTGTTACCTGGGGACCTCAGGCTATCATGTTCTTAAACATAGAATAGAGATTCGGCGGAATGACAGGCTTTGTAGGTTTATAACCTACCAGGACGGCAGGACGCGCGCCGAGTTGTACTCAAATATTTTACGAGTATCAGTATCACCCCACACCCGTTAAGGCCAAAATCAATCAAATTTGGTGCGTATGCCCAAATATGTGCATATTTATGGTTTTTGGCTCATAACTTAGCCATTTTTTTCCCAATCTTTTTTGTCCAATAAAAATTCATACACAATACAGAGGCCCTAGTTTGTTGGTTAATGGTCAATTGCTATCTCGAAATCAAATTTCACAAAACAATCAGGGTGAACCCTGACAACGGGAATTAGCATTTGGTTATAATATGCAGTTTTGTAATGTTTTTTTTGTAATGCTTTGTAATGCGTTTTGTAATGCTTTCAGCTTTGTAAATATACACTGTTTCTTAAGGAAGCAGTCCTTATCCCAAAGACTGAGGATCTGTCAGACCCAAGCAAGTTCAGGAATATTACAAAGACGAACACCAGCGGCAAGTTGAACATGGGAATTCTAGCAGACAAGATGCTGGATTATATGGTGTCTAATAAGTACATAGACAAGTCAGTTCAGAAGGGCTTTCTGAAGAAGACTCCTGGTTGTCTTGAACACACCCAAGTGCTTATGGAAGAACTAAAAGACGCCAAATCTACTAGACGTCAGATATTCGTTGTCTGGGTGGATTTAATGAATGCATATGGCAGAGTCCCACACAACTTGATCCTCTATGCCCTCCGGCATTACAAATTCCCTGAATGGCTCATAGATTACATGTTTAAGTACTATGATGAACTGATTGTAAGGGTGGTAACCAAAGACTGGAAGTCAAATTGGTTCTACTACATGTTAGGCCTCTTTCAAGGAGACCCTCTTTCAGTAGTGTTGTTCCTGATTGTATTCAACTTACTGTTAGATCTTCTACAAGATCAAAAAGAACTGGGTTATAAGCCCTCCTTTAGCTCGCAACCTACATCGTATCGGGCTTTTGCAGATGACCTAACACTTATGTCCTCCAGACTAGAGAAGGTAAAGAAGCAGATAGAGTTGATGGAGCAGTTTTTGGATTGGAGTAGGAAAATGAAGGCCAAGCCTAGCAAGTGTGTCTCCCTGGGAATGAAGGTGATAGATGGTACGTACCAGGCTTATGACCCAGAGATATTGATTGACGGCCAGATAATCAGCTATGTAGGAAACAACCCGATTAAGTTCCTGGGCCACTGGATCTATGTCGATCTAGGGTTAAATGACACTAAACAACGGATTGAAGACAAACTAAAAACTCTGTTTCAGACAGTGGATGAGTGTGGTCTCAACGGTGTCATGAAGTGTTGGATCTACAATAACATGCTGACTAGCAAGATGTCCTGGGATCTGATGATTTACAACCTTCCTGTAAGTTTTGTGTACGAACTGGATGCTATCTGCACCAGATTCTTGAAGAAGTGGTTGGGTGTTACTAGATCAATTACTGTGACAGTCCTGTACAGGAGCAAGGATTACTTCGGGCTAAACTTGAAGAAGCTGAGTGACTTATACAAGTCTCTTCAGGTATCAAAGGGACACGCCCTGAAGAACAGTGATGACACCAAAGTTGTAGAAGCCTATAATAACAAGAGAGAGAAACAGGAGAACAGCCCGAGATGGTCTTATACAACGGAGCTGACGGCAAGAGAGCGAGATCTTTACTTCCAGGAGTTGGTTGGAGTAGTGACTAAAGATCGAGTAGGACTCGGATGCAAACCAAAGTTGACTGAGAGGCAGAAGCTAAGGCAACTGGTAGAATCGGTGTCAGAGAACGACATGCTAGTCACCCTGGTAAACAAGGGAGTACAGGGCAAGTTCTTGACATGGGAGAACACGATGCAGTTAGACTTAGGATGGAACAGCCTTATCTACAACTACAAGATGAGCCCGGCTCTCCTTAAATTCCACCTAAACTCGACACACGACGTGGCTAATACCCCTGCAAACATGAAATTGTGGAACTACTCGAGTACAGGAAATTGTGCACTTTGTGGATGGAAGACGTGCAACATCAAGCATATCCTAGCCGTCTGCAGTGTAGCAAGAAACTCCAAAAGGTACAACTGGAGACATGACAACGTCCTACGTGTTATAGCCGGAGCCTTGCTTGACCAACTCAAGATGTACAATTCCTCAGGTTCCACGACCTCCGACAAAGAATGGATACGGTTCAAGTCGAAGGATGGGAAGTATGAACACCCAAAGCCAAGGTTGAGGAAGGAGAGGCCCTTTGAGAGAGCGAAAGACTGGAAGCTGATATGGGACGAGGATACACTACCTGCCCAGTTCCCACAGCACATCTACAACACAGCGGAGAGACCCGACATTGTAGTATGGTCGGATAGTTTGAGAGAAGTAGTTCTGATTGAACTGACTTGTGGTGACGAGAGTAACTTCAGTGACCAAGTAGCACGTAAAGAAGCACGCTACAACAGAGAGCTGATTCCTGGCATCGACGGGTGCGGTTGGAAAGCTCTGCTCTTTACGGTAGAGATTGGGTGTAGGGGCTTCTGGCACCATACTGTACCAGCTCTATTTAACTACTTTGGATTGGCGAAGAGGACGAAGAATAAAGCCCTGAATGAGGCTGCTTTGGTCGCTCTTCGATGTTCCTATACAATCTGGTTAGCCCGCGACAACAAGAAATGGTCTACCTGCTACGACATCGCAAGGAGGCCAGAAGTCATAAACTGTGAAAGCTGAGTGTTGGGCCCATAAAACATGTTGAAAGCTGCAACCAGGATCACAAGTACTGGTGGAATACAGAATGACTTGCTAATCAGATTGATAGATGGAGTTGCTATCGAAAGATATAGAACTCAGGTAAACATCTAACCTGTAATAGTTTATTGTTGATTTTTCTCACACACGGAAATGGATTGTGCGCCTGCAGACGGGCGTGTTAGTCTGCTGACAGCTGGAAAGACTGCTGACGTCAGGGAAAGTGCTGATGACGATTGGGGAAAGACTCGATGACTTCAGGGAAAGAACTGATGACTCCTGTGAAAGAGCAGAGTACGTAACTGCCTCAGTAAGGCTCCTCGTACAGACAAATCACACTACGTCAACTAAAAGAGAATGCCCCAAGACCTCCGATCAGGTGGGGAGGATCAAAGGTCAACCCGGATTTAACGATGAAGGATCTTTGAGAGAATTTGACAATAGTACTTGTCAGTGGTGTAAGCGAATGTTCAAACAGATCAACAAACATCTCTGGAGATGCAAAATGAGACCGGCGGAGCTCGAACCCGAACCTTTGGTGAGGATAGATGATATCCGTAATACTATGTCGGAGCAGGAACCTAGCCAGGAACACAACCACAGAGCTACAAAGGAACCTGCCTGCTCAGACTTGCGTTTTCAGTTCATAGATCATGAACCGCCCAACATCGAGATTGAGGTTACAAAGAAGCTTAAATTACCACAAGCAGCAGAGAGAGGAATATGGAAAGGAATAGATGAAGATTTGGTTATGCTGTGTCACGAGATCGTAGAGAAGGATGAGGCGATCAGGCTTCAAAAGACTGAAGGGAGAATCTACAGCTACCTGGAATATAGATTTGGGGAAGAGAAGAAGATATTCGAACAGAAACAGCAGAGAGAGGACAGGGAGACTAAGGCGATTAGGGTTTCTAAGAGAATAGCAAAGAAAGATATGAGGTCGGCAAAGAGGAGTAAGGACACTAACGCAACAGCCACAGCGAAAAGAGAGTACCTCCGGCTGGTGCGGCTCCACAACAAAAGTCGACGCAATGAGCTCAAGAAGAAGAGGGGCAAGCAGGAGAAGAAAGAGCAGGATAAGTTTAAGAAGAACCCGTATGACTACAGCAAGAAGCTACTTAACGGTAAGCAGAACAACGCTCCGCCAAGCTTCTCTAAGGAAGAAGCAGACAGGTTCTTCAAGAAGGAGTATAAGGACACGGACAGAGGTGCAATCTACACTAAGTTGGAAGGCCTTCCTGAGGCCAAGCCCCCAGTAGTTAAGTTCGAGCTGACAAAGCTGGACAAGGAAGATTTCGATGCAAAGCTGAAGAGCAGGCGTAATAAGTCATCCCCTGGTCCAAACGGTGTACCATATGTGGTGTATAAGAGATGCCCGAGAACCGCACACATGATCTTCCAAACCCTATCTACCCTGTGGGACAAGAAGATAGTGCCACTACAATGGCGATTTGGTGAAGCAGTCCTTATCCCAAAGACTGAGGATCTGTCAGACCCAAGCAAGTTCAGGAATATTACAAAGACGAACACCAGCGGCAAGTTGAACATGGGAATTCTAGCAGACAAGATGCTGGATTATATGGTGTCTAATAAGTACATAGACAAGTCAGTTCAGAAGGGCTTTCTGAAGAAGACTCCTGGTTGTCTTGAACACACCCAAGTGCTTATGGAAGAACTAAAAGACGCCAAATCTACTAGACGTCAGATATTCGTTGTCTGGGTGGATTTAATGAATGCATATGGCAGAGTCCCACACAACTTGATCCTCTATGCCCTCCGGCATTACAAATTCCCTGAATGGCTCATAGATTACATGTTTAAGTACTATGATGAACTGATTGTAAGGGTGGTAACCAAAGACTGGAAGTCAAATTGGTTCTACTACATGTTAGGCCTCTTTCAAGGAGACCCTCTTTCAGTAGTGTTGTTCCTGATTGTATTCAACTTACTGTTAGATCTTCTACAAGATCAAAAAGAACTGGGTTATAAGCCCTCCTTTAGCTCGCAACCTACATCGTATCGGGCTTTTGCAGATGACCTAACACTTATGTCCTCCAGACTAGAGAAGGTAAAGAAGCAGATAGAGTTGATGGAGCAGTTTTTGGATTGGAGTAGGAAAATGAAGGCCAAGCCTAGCAAGTGTGTCTCCCTGGGAATGAAGGTGATAGATGGTACGTACCAGGCTTATGACCCAGAGATATTGATTGACGGCCAGATAATCAGCTATGTAGGAAACAACCCGATTAAGTTCCTGGGCCACTGGATCTATGTCGATCTAGGGTTAAATGACACTAAACAACGGATTGAAGACAAACTAAAAACTCTGTTTCAGACAGTGGATGAGTGTGGTCTCAACGGTGTCATGAAGTGTTGGATCTACAATAACATGCTGACTAGCAAGATGTCCTGGGATCTGATGATTTACAACCTTCCTGTAAGTTTTGTGTACGAACTGGATGCTATCTGCACCAGATTCTTGAAGAAGTGGTTGGGTGTTACTAGATCAATTACTGTGACAGTCCTGTACAGGAGCAAGGATTACTTCGGGCTAAACTTGAAGAAGCTGAGTGACTTATACAAGTCTCTTCAGGTATCAAAGGGACACGCCCTGAAGAACAGTGATGACACCAAAGTTGTAGAAGCCTATAATAACAAGAGAGAGAAACAGGAGAACAGCCCGAGATGGTCTTATACAACGGAGCTGACGGCAAGAGAGCGAGATCTTTACTTCCAGGAGTTGGTTGGAGTAGTGACTAAAGATCGAGTAGGACTCGGATGCAAACCAAAGTTGACTGAGAGGCAGAAGCTAAGGCAACTGGTAGAATCGGTGTCAGAGAACGACATGCTAGTCACCCTGGTAAACAAGGGAGTACAGGGCAAGTTCTTGACATGGGAGAACACGATGCAGTTAGACTTAGGATGGAACAGCCTTATCTACAACTACAAGATGAGCCCGGCTCTCCTTAAATTCCACCTAAACTCGACACACGACGTGGCTAATACCCCTGCAAACATGAAATTGTGGAACTACTCGAGTACAGGAAATTGTGCACTTTGTGGATGGAAGACGTGCAACATCAAGCATATCCTAGCCGTCTGCAGTGTAGCAAGAAACTCCAAAAGGTACAACTGGAGACATGACAACGTCCTACGTGTTATAGCCGGAGCCTTGCTTGACCAACTCAAGATGTACAATTCCTCAGGTTCCACGACCTCCGACAAAGAATGGATACGGTTCAAGTCGAAGGATGGGAAGTATGAACACCCAAAGCCAAAGTTGAGGAAGGAGAGGCCCTTTGAGAGAGCGAAAGACTGGAAGCTGATATGGGACGAGGATACACTACCTGCCCAGTTCCCACAGCACATCTACAACACAGCGGAGAGACCCGACATTGTAGTATGGTCGGATAGTTTGAGAGAAGTAGTTCTGATTGAACTGACTTGTGGTGACGAGAGTAACTTCAGTGACCAAGTAGCACGTAAAGAAGCACGCTACAACAGAGAGCTGATTCCTGGCATCGACGGGTGCGGTTGGAAAGCTCTGCTCTTTACGGTAGAGATTGGGTGTAGGGGCTTCTGGCACCATACTGTACCAGCTCTATTTAACTACTTTGGATTGGCGAAGAGGACGAAGAATAAAGCCCTGAATGAGGCTGCTTTGGTCGCTCTTCGATGTTCCTATACAATCTGGTTAGCCCGCGACAACAAGAAATGGTCTACCTGCTACGACATCGCAAGGAGGCCAGAAGTCATAAACTGTGAAAGCTGAGTGTTGGGCCCATAAAACATGTTGAAAGCTGCAACCAGGATCACAAGTACTGGTGGAATACAGAATGACTTGCTAATCAGATTGATAGATGGAGTTGCTATCGAAAGATATAGAACTCAGGTAAACATCTAACCTGTAATAGTTTATTGTTGATTTTTCTCTATATAAAGCGAGACGATATATGTATATATGGATCCGTACCATTTTACTGACACCACGGCATCAACTTTAACGCGACTTTCCGCAAAAACCATAAAAGATATACAACTGAAACTTCTTTGACTGGGTCAAATGCTTTATTGGCCTTCAAATCAGCATGAAAAAATAACAAATTGGCCAAGGAAGAGGAGTTTTAGAGCCCAAAATTTGGACCCCCGAGTGGTGTCAAAAACGCGCATTAAATAGGTTATAATTATTGTAGTCTCTTGAGTCTTGACACCATTTTAGGGTTATATACGGGTTCCTGCTAGTAACTATAACTAGTATAATGTATATAATCAGACAGAGTAAATTATTCTATATTTATTATCACAATTAAAATGTTTCATCTTGTAAATCGCTCGCTTAAGTTTATAAATTTTATTCCCGTAACAAAGCCAGGCTTTGAAAAATAACATTATCCCAGATAAGAATTTTAATTAGCTAAACTTTTTACAAATATTTATTTAATACACCTAAATTTGTTCATTATTCTTAAGAAAATATAAATCTATGACCCTGATTTAAAGATGAGTTATATAACTTGCTTTATTATGAGTATATTATACTATATAATATATGCTATTATGAGTACAAATTGGAACGACCGGTCGAGTCAGACAATTGTTTCAATCATGCAAAACCATGATATCATCAGTGACAACTATTATTATGAGTATATTGACAGGGACAGTGGGACACCTCTATCTAGATCTTGACAAAAATCTGAATAAATCACAGTCGACATTGGATTCACTTATATTAGACAGACTTCCGCAATATTTACGTCACATTTTAATGATATGGGCAGGTCATGTGTTACCATGGTTGCGATCGAGCCAGAAGATAGATGCTAGATTATTTAGCTGTCTTTATCGTTCCCACTTCCAGACAAGGTCGTTGTCTCTGGTTTAAATTTTCATTACTATTTGTGTAGTAGTAATTGTGTTTAACAGATTAGGTTAGTGATTCCAGATTAAGTTAGCTATTAGTATTACCAGATTAAGTTAGTGATTAGAGTTACCAGATTAATATAATGATTAGTGTTACCAGATTAAGTTATTGATTAGTGTTACCAAATTATGTTAGTGAATAACCACTACGTTAACTGACGTATAAAATTGGCAAGTTTAGAACAAATTTAATTCAACTATTAATTCTATGCTACGATTGATTTCAGATTTGAATATTTTTCGTCCGTACTCGACACTTGTGACGTGTTACTGTTAGAACACACGTGACATAACCGTGACTAGACCGAATTTAATTTGATGCGGGGAACTAAACCGAGTAATGGTCTTTCCTTGAAATTTGTACGTCATGTTCCTCAGTAAACATTACCGAACTGCATTATTAGTTGTAAACCTACAGACCTGCACATTACCGAGCTATAGACCAAGCTGCTTGAAATATTTACAGGTAATATCCGTAAAGAACTGCACCAAGATTATAAAGTGGGTAGCAGCCAAGGTTATAAAGTGGGTAGCAGACAAGGTTATAAAGTGGGCAGCAGACAAGGTTATAAAGTGGGCAGCAGACAAGGTTATAAAGTGGGTAGCAGCCAAGGTTATAAAGTGGGTAGCAGACAAGGTTATAAAGTGGGCAGCAGATAAGGTTATAAAGTGGGTAGCAGATAAGGTTATAAAGTGGGTAGCAGACAATGTTATAAAGTGGGTAGCAGCCAAGGTTATAAAGTGGGTAGCAGACAAGGTTATAAAGTGGGCAGCAGACAAGGTTATAAAGTGGGTAGCAGCCAAGGTTATAAAGTGGGTAGCAGATAAAGTTATAAAGTGGGTAGCAGATAAGGTTATAAAGTGGGTAGCAGCCAATGTTATAAAGTGGGTAGCAGCCAAGGTTATGTAGTAGTAAACCCGCGATGGGGTGGCATGTGCCTCAATAAAAATATTACAATCATTTATTATTATATATCAATGTATCATTAAATATTTCAAAAATATCAATAACGTATGGTTGATCCTTCACACTTGGTAAAATATATAAAAATAAAGTTAAAAAGTTAAAAAGTTAAAAAAGTTAAAAGTTAATAAAGTTAAAAGTTAATACACTAAAGAATAAATAATCTATATTATATAAATCAACAATATTAACTCCCCATCTTCATGTAGTCATTTATCAAAGCGGTAGAAATCCAAGTAATTTTAGTACGCGGTGCGCAAGGAATTTCGTTTTTTTTTTTTTTTTTTTTTTTTTTTTTTTTAAATTTTATAAAGTGGGTAGCAGACAAGGTTATGTAGTAGTAAACCCGCGATGGGGTGGCATGTGCCTCAATAAAAATATTACAATCATTTATTATTATATATCAATGTATCATTAAATATTTCAAAAATATCAATAACGTACACGTTGTACCCATATATAAAAAAGGTGATAAACACGAGGTTTCAAATTATAGGCCAATATCCCTTACATGCTTAATCACCAAAGTTCTTGAACGTATAATTAAAGATGAGTTACTTGCACTTACTAACGGCATGATCAACGATAAACAACACGGTTTTCGAGCTGAAAGATCATGTGCAACTAATCTTGTAGGTCTATGTGACAGCCTAGCTCTCTCACTGAATGAAAATATGAGAACAGATGTAGTCTACTTTGATTTTGCCAAAGCTTTCGACTCAGTTAACCATGATCTTATATTATTTAAGCTAAAGAGCAAATTTGGTATTGATGGGAGGCTGCTGAAATTCATCACTGATTATCTAAGAGACAGGCAACAACAGGTCTTGATAAGTGGTAAGTTTTCTTCCATGAGAAACGCCCAATCTGGTGTACCACAAGGGTCAATTTTGGGACCTTTGTTGTTCATTATGTTCATTGATGATATATCAGTGGGGATTTCACCTGGCACACAACTGTCACTGTATGCCGATGATACTAAAATTTGGCGTGAGATTGTTTCGGAGTCTGATATCCTGCGACTGCAGAAGGACATTGATTATCTCCATGACTGGTCACTTTCTAATAAAATGAGATTTCATCCCGACAAATGTAAGGTCCTCACCGTCGCAGGAAGGATATCCGAAACAGTTTCCCTCCTTAGTGTCCTACCACTCTTTAACTTTGTATACTCCATGGGAAGAATCGCACTTGACTATGTCGATCATGAAAAGGATTTGTGTGTTTTTGTGACCAAGAATCTCGACTGGCAAGACCAGTGCTCTAAAGTCCTCTCAAAGGCCAACCAAAAATTAGGCATGGCAAGGAGAAATTGCTATTTTGTTCAAGATGTAAATCGTCGTAGAGTACTGTATCTCACTTTAATGAGAAGTCAATTTGAGCATTGCTCAGTTATATGGAGACCGGTCACAAAATCCCAGATAAGCAAGCTGGAGGGCCTCCAAAAGCGTGCTATTAAGTGGATTCTTCGCGAGGAGTATATGAGTTATCCACCATCCACATACATTCAGAAATGCAGACAGCTTAAGATTATGCCCATAGAAGACCGCTTCGACTTTCTTGACCTTATTTTCTTCTTTAAAATTGTGAAGCAACATATTCCTGTCACTTTACCCTCATATTTGCAACCATATCAAGGCCACTCAAGGTTAAGAAATAGCCACATGGACCCCTTATGTTTTGTAAGCTCGATCTTACCACGAGCAAGCTCTAACGCTTTTGCTAAGAACTTTTACTTTAGGACCCAGTCCAAATGGAATCATATTCCTCTAGATATACGCGAGATAGGGACTATTTCTGAGTTCAAAAGCAAATTGACCTCCTACATGTGGGATAAAATTATGCCGGAGGACTTTGATTATGATCTAGATTTTTCCCTCGAGACAGAGATGTGAAGCAGTTTACCTAAAGCTAACAATATGTTCATAAGGAGCTTAAATCCCTGTTGTCTGTATTTCTCATTTCTCATTTTAGTGCATGTCATCACATCATGGATTTCACTTTATTATATGATTTGATTGCTTTTGATATTTTTGTGTGTTTCTATTTGAAATTCTATTTAAAATTTAAGATTTTCGTGGGCCCATACTTGTGCAGGAGGTGCATTTTGCTCTCAACATCTGTGTTTTGGTGACCCTCAGGTCCTTTGATTACATACATTTTGTCCTAGAAAATCTGATTTTATCGGAGTCTTATACTTTTGAGAAAATTTAATGTTGTTCATTCATTGTGTAAATTTGTATGAAATTGATCGATTTGAAAGATTTCAATAAAAAAAAATGGTTGATCCTTCACACTTGGTAAAATATATAAAAATAAAGTTAAAAAGTTAAAAAGTTAAAAAAGTTAAAAGTTAATAAAGTTAAAAGTTAATACACTAAAGAATAAATAATCTATATTATATAAATCAACAATATTAACTCCCCATCTTCATGTAGTCATTTATCAAAGCGGTAGAAATCCAAGTAATTTTAGTACGCGGTGCGCAAGGAATTTCGTTTTTTTTTTTTTATTGTTTTTTTTTTTTTTTAATTTTTTTTTTTTTTTTAAATTTTATAAAGTGGGTAGCAGACAAGGTTATAAAGTGGGCAGCAGACAAGGTTATAAAGTGGGTAGCAGCTAAGGTTATAAAGTGGGTAGCAGACAACGTTATAAAGTGGGTTAGGTCATGAACGTCAGTGCCCACTTGTCACCACTGTTCGTTCCAATTAAACAGGCAAGCAGCCTGCTTATATAAAATGTTTCTATTATAAAATGTTTCTATATATATATATAGGCCTTTTAAACATTTTGATTCGATTTTAAAATTGACAGCCCTCTGAAAATCGTCAAAAAATCAGGTCCAAGATTTTCAAACTTTGTGGAAAGATTCCATAAATCAACCA